CTTGTTTGAGAAGTTTTCTAAACTCTTATATAGCTTGTTATTTCATTTTCATTTCAATTAGCTATATTTATTGAGTTTCATTCACTGTTATCACATACACATATTGAGCTTAATATTTTCATACTATATATTGTGGGTTGTGGGGTGTGATTTAGTGAGTGTGAGCTTCATTGTGTTCTCACTTGTTATTTGAGAACAAATCATTGTATTTAATCTTCTTTTGTGAGAATCACTTGTAATATACTTGTACACCGAGAGAAGTGTGAGGCGAGAGACGGGGCCAAATCCAATAGGAGTGGCGTCGGTTGACGAACCTCGGGAGAGGTTGCATCCGAGCACTTGAGGAGGATGACACGGGCTACGTTCCTACACTTAGTGTGTAAAGTGTGATTGATTAGTGATTGTGTAGTGTGAGAGTTTTCGGTGATCTTGTAAACCGAGTGTGTAGAAGTTCCGGCTTCCAAACCGGATTGTGATAGTGGATATCTCCTCGAGGTGAGGAGCGGGGATGTAGGTCATGGTGACCTAACCTCGTAAACATATCGTGTGTTTGTATTTTGCTTGGCTTATATTTTATTTGTGCATATTCTTATTGTTCTTATTCATATCTATCTCTTGCAAGAACATATTGATCAATATATTTTTTAATTGGTAATTAATTAGGATTAGATTAGCATAAGACCCTAATCACCCCCCCCCTCTAGGGTCTAACAATTGGTATCAGAGCTTGGTGCTCTTTAATTTAAGGACAAACCGCCTTGAGTTAAAGATCCAAGTTATCGTTTTTGTGCTAATCTAGTGTTAATTGCATTTTGCTTCTTACATATTATCTTTATGGATATGTACGATTCATCTAATTTAGGATATGCTATTAATATTGCTCCTCGTTTGGATATTTTTCCCTATGCTCAATGGCGTGTTAGATTCAAACTTTTCGTTCAATCTAAACAATTCGATTTATGGGAAATTATTGAGGATGCCTATATTGTTCCCATTTTGGAAAAATCCAAATGGTGTGAGAATGATAAAAGATTATTTAACATGAATAAGCTTTTGTTAGAATGCTAATTTTGATAGTGCTTACGTCTTATGGAAATTTATTGAAGCACATGAAGGGGAATTGGAGGCTATTCAACAAGCGTTGGAAAATCCCGCTTTGAGTTCTAAAGAAGCCTCATCTCCATGTACAATTCCACTTGGTGATAACCCTAGTGAGGTATGCAATAACGATGATACTATTACTTTTGATGAACTTGCTATTGAGTTTGAAAAGTTACGCAATTGCTATATTGATGTAAAGAGTAAGTATGTTAATATGAAATCCACTCATGAAACACTAGCCACTAAGTTTAATTTTATTGCAAATGAAAATATAATTCTTAAAGAATGCAATGAAAACTTGAAAATTTAAAATACTAGTTTGCTTCATGAAAAACGTAGTAGCAATGCTTGTATGCACAATGATGAGTTGAATCAAATGAGAAAACGAATATCTACCTTAGATTCAACACTAAACACTTGTATTGCTAATAATAAAAAGCTTATGGACTTATGTGCAAAGTTCAATGTTAATTCTTCTAAGAAACCTATTCACTATGCACATATGTATGAAAAAATTCACAAATGCTCTATTTGCGGTCTTAAAGGCCATTTAGCTCAATTTTGTCATAATACAACAAAAATTGACAAGCCTATTCATGATTGTGCATCCCATCAAGCTTCTTCATCACATACACATGTACACACACATAGTGTAAATCATAAACATGCTCATGTGTACAAATGTGAATATTGTGGTCACACATAGTGTAAATCATAAACATGCTCATGTGTACAAATGTGAATATTGTGGTCGTTTTGGTCATTTGGTCATGTTTTGTTTCGATTTGAAAAGAAATTCTCGTTTGTAAAATAATTACAAAGAAAAATCTATTTTTGTAAAAGAACCACGTGCATTTTATTTCGGTCAACGTAAACCATTCAAACCTCTACATTGCACAAATTGCAATCGTATGGGTCATGTTTACAATTTTTGCTTTGATCGTATCGGTGCATAAAATACGCCCAAGCGGGTTCATAACCCTAGGGCCTTGGATTTAAATGATAGGGGTCATGTCCCAAAGTTTAGTGGTACCAAAATAATTTGGGTACCAAAATGATTCTTATGTCACTTATTGTTGTTTTATTTGTTTTTGTTTTTGGTTTGAAAAATTGGTTTTTGTATGTAAATTTTCCCTCTTATTTAGCTAAAATAAGTTATTTGTATGATTTTATAGCTAAAAACTTTTATATATATCTTATAAAACATTTGGTATCTTATAAAACAAATTCTTAAAGGACTAAATTGAAAACTTTCTCAAAATCCAGATTTTACAATGGCTATGCATTTTTCTTTCTCGCGGTCGACCGCCACGGTCGACCGTCGATGTTTCTGTAAGTTATTACGGTGCTATGCATTTTTCTTTCTCGCGGTCGACCGCCACGGTCGACCGTCGATGTTTCTGTAAGTTATTACGGTCGACCGCCACGGCCGACTGCAAGAAATTTTTCAGCTTTGTTTTTAATTCTTATCGGGTTTTGGTTTTTTTATAACTATTTTGAACCCGATTTTGTCATCACCGTTGATCTGTTCCCTGAGCTAATCCTAGCCCTTCCTTCATCTCCTCTAAGATCCGACTCCTCAGTTTTCCCCTCATTCGAAAATTTTTCCCTAATCTATCGATTTCTCCCACGGTCGCCTACTTCGTCGACCGCGGTTCTCATTCTTCGTTAATCTCAGTTGGGATCTGTAGGGTAATAATCTCTCCTCTCATCTTTTGATTTCATTTCCTGCTCTAGTGATTCTATTCTCAGTCTAGGGTTTTGATTTAGAGTTAATTCATTTTTACTTTTTTGCTCTATTTTCATTTCCAGGGTTTTATATTTCTGTCCAATTTCATTCAAAAACCCTAATAGAACATGCCTCCTAGAAAGAGATCAAAATCTGATGTTGGTTCGTCTTCTTCTGTAGCCTCTCATTATGAGGATTTTCTTTTGTTTAAATCCCTAGTTAAGAAATATAGGGAGTTGTGCAAACTGAAAATTCTTCCCACCAGATATATCAAGTTTGATCAATTAGCCCTGTATGACACTCATTCGATTCTTCATAATGTTAGGTTGGCTAGGCTATTAGATGTGGAACATAAAGTTCCTTATTATCCTTTTCTGGTTTATCTGTTGCAATTTTTTTCTGCCAACGAACTTGCGGGGATTCTTAAAATCCCAACAGGTAATGTTGACCTTATGTCTATTGAACATGATGATCCAGCTATGAACAACCTCTTGTTTAAACCCGGTTGCACTTATCCGATGAACAATAATTCTCTTAGGGGGTGTTTGGTTGGCTGTTTTTATAGAAAACATTTCTTAAAAAATCTGACAGTGGCAATTTTGTAAATAAAAATTTTCTGTATATTTCTATAAAGTGTGTTTGGTTCCAAAAAACTTTACAGAAATGTTTTCTTAAAACTGTCAAAAACACCCTATTTTTATAGAAATTTATTTCCTCTCAAAATGAGAGGAAATTGCCCTGAAATCTGACACATCCTTTATTAAAATGATATATTTGCTTCTCATACCCATTTCCCCACTCGCTGGACATTTCTCGAGCTGCTTCGTCGGCGAAAAATCTCGCCCTGGTTCCCACCCCAAATCCAGCGACTTGCTAGTCCTTCGCGCCATTTCTAGTTACATCTCGATTTCCCCTCTTCGATCGCCTCAGATCTAGGGTTTTCGGTTCCCAGATCTTGCGCTAGGGTTCATTCTCGTTCCCAAATCTTGTGCTAGGATTTCTGATCTCAAGACTCCCACGGTAAAAATCTCTTCTTTTTACTCAATTTTTTTTTTGTTTTGTTGATCTATTTGTAGTTGGTTTGTTGACAAAAATTATCGTTAGGGTTTCTGTACATTTTATTTTTGTAATTACTGATCTTAAGGCTTAGAAGACTCAATACTCAATAATTGTTGGGACGTTGTTGAATTTGATTTTGGGGAACGTATTTAGCAGTTGAAAACAGATAATTTGTTATTTTCTTTGTCATCTGTTATGTATTTTGTTAGAAATTACCATGTTCGGTAGGTTTGAGTTTTATACATTCAGTAGGTTTTTCTTTGATAGAAATTACCCTCTATTACCAAAGCAATAGCACTTTAGTTGTGAATTTGACAGGGTCTTGTAATATCACAGAGTATGGGGTTTTATGGGTATGTAAATAAGAAGCAATAGTTGGGATAAATGAATAAACAGGAAATGTAATGAAATGAACTGCAGTGGCACGCATGTATACTTGCTTTAAGATTGTAAGATTGAAGATATCTTTTGAGGGTTTCCCCTCTTTGCCATGTTCACATCTCAAACAAAAAAATTGCTAATTTTCAATCTGTCAATGTAGGACGTTTGTATCATGTCAATCAAGATTATAGTTCAAAATGTTGGGTGTATAAAAGAGATTAGTTGATAAGTTAGTTACTAAATTTTTTTGTCGTTGTTTATTGTTGCATAGACATCTTAAACTATTTTTGCTTTGTAACGAATGTAGATGGATGGTGTAGATGAAGAACAAATAAAGAGGATGTGTGCTAATACCACTATATCTACCGTGGTTACAATAATAGCTTGTTTATTGAGAATTCGTGCTAGGAACAAATCCATTTGTTATGCCCCTAGAGAGGATAATATGAGGAGAATTTATTGTAGAAATGCTCACTTTAAGCGCGTCTTTGAAGGATATAGTGATAGTTATAGGTCTTATATTAGAATGAGGCCTAAAGCTTTTTTCAAACTTGCGGATGTAATGCGCAATCATGGTTTTCTAAATGACACAAAACACCTTCAAGTTGAAGAATAACTCGGTATGTTTCTTTGCATAGTGGGTCATAAAACCAAAAACAGAGTAATAAGGACTGAATTCATAAGATCGGGTGAAACGGTTAGTAGGTACTTTAATAAGATCCTACATGCTATGAATGGTCTTCGCGATCGATACATGAAGCAAGCTCCTAATGAGATTTCGCCGGAGATTGCCAACAATCCAAACTATTTTCCTTACTTCAAGGTAAGAGAGAAATAAATTCTTTTAGTTTGTGATTTGCATAATTCAATGATATGAGGTACTAATAATTTTAATTATTGTCGAGTTTTGATAGGATTGCATTGGTATGATAGATGGAACACATATTGACGCAATGTTACCCTCTAATCTAGTTGCACGGTTTAGAGGGTGTAAAGGTGTAACGAAAAATGTTTTAGCTGCGTGCACTCCAAATAAACTGTTCTCATATGTCCTAGCTGGGTGGGAAGGTGCGGCGAATGACTATAGGATTTTGCAAGACGCATTGTGTAGACCACAACCTTACGGATTGAGAGTATATGATGGTATTCTTCCACCTCCTTTAATAAATAGTCAGCTAAATAATAGGGCCCAATTGATCACAATTTTTTTTGTAGTGTAGGCAAATATTATCTTTGTGATGCTGGATACACTACCATGCCTGGCTTCATATCTCCGTACCGTGGTGTACGTTATCACTTAAAGGAACACATTGGTAGGACACCCAGAAATAGCAGGGAGTTGTTTAATTTAAGACACTCTTCTTTACGGTCAAAAATTGAATCAACCTTTGGCACATTGAAGAATCGGTTCAAAATTCTGATGGCAAAGCCTAATTATCCATTCCCCACACAAGTGGACATCGTCTTAGCATGTACTATATTACATAATTTCATTGCAATTGAAGATCCACAAGATGACATCTTGAATGAGAATGTACTAATTGATGAGGAGAATGATGACATGACAAACGAAGATGCTACAAATGTAGTTGACTTCACTCAATCTAGGACACAAAGAGAGGAGCATGATGCAAGAAATGAATAGAAGGAACTTAGGGATCAAATTGCATGGGCAATGTGGGTTGATTATTGCGCAAAATATAAAGAAGGCGACACCACAGAAATTGTCTTGTAGTGGCGTTGTTTTCGCATATTTCAGACTATATTGAAGTATGTTATAACTGTGCTTGTATAAACAATGTAGTTTCTCAACTTTAATTTTGCAATTTATTATTTCATGATTGTACTTGTACGGATAATGTAATTGTTCCCATATTGTACTTAGCATGTACTAAATTTCTGGTTTGTTTTTATCATGGCACGTAGGTATGTCTAACAAAGAGGGAGGAAAAGATAATTCGCCTAAATCACCACATGCACTACTAATTGATGATGGCGGTATTAATGTGAATTTTGTTCCATATCTAAATCAACCGTTCAATCCGCCTCATACAATGCCTCCTTTCCCACAGTTTCCACTATTCGATGGGAACTACAGTGGCTCTAGCCAACATGTTTCATTCACTAACATATTGAACAGTTCCCAAGGCTTGCACATTCCTTCTTTGAGTTCTCAAAGTGGTGGTTCACAGCAAATGTCACCCTCCATTGGTGAATCTGGTGGACATGAAAGTAATGTTATTTGTTTGAGCCAGGAGGTTTCACCCTCCAAAAGAATCAAAAAAATTGCTCACAAAAGAGCATGGCCTGCAACACATAGAGCTCCTAGCATCAACTCGAATGGGGTTTCCAACATGTGGTGGCTTCCTAAGCATGATGTGGAGCTTATACCGTGTCTTGCGGAGCTCGCGGATTCCAGAATGAAAGTTGATAAAAACTTCAAAGCTGAGGTTTACAAAATAGCAGCTATGAAAATGAACATGAAATTCAAAACCAACTACACCCACGTTCATGTGATTAATATGAAATTCAAAACCAACTACACCCACGTTCATGTGATTAATCGCATGAAGACTTGGAGAAACAAATTTAATGATATGAAGACTTGCATACACCCACGTTCATGTGATTAATCGCATGAAGACTTGGAGAAACAAATTTAATGATATGAAGACTTGCACCAACATATGTGGTGCGGGGTGGGATGAGGAAATTGTATGGTAATCCTAGATGAGGAGACACTTAATCAATGGGCTCAGGTATTAATTCTATCATTACTACACATTTAATTTATTTGGACGTGAGAAGACTATAATTAATTTCACACAGTATTTTTCACATATGGCAGGACAAAAAGAACTCAAAGCTAAGAGGATATATAAACAAGCCTCTTCCATTCTACAAACATTTACAGAAGATCATGGGTGATGATCAAGCTAGGGGTGATTTTGTTAGGCCAGTTTATGATAAAATTGGTACTAACAATGTCATTCCTCTTGATGATGATGATGCGGACATTCCTCATGAGAGTGAAACTGAGCCTCAATCCGATGCTAACACTACCCCACACTCCACTTCTAGGAAATCCCAACATGAGTCTACCACAAAGCCATCTTCAAGCAAGCGACCTCGCAAATCCAATGACGATGAGTTAATACGTAGCTTTGTTGAGACTATGTCGGAGTCAATTAGAAATCAACACATTATACATTGGACTGAACAATTAGCTGCAGCTTTGAAGAACCATAGTGACTCCTACAGTGACGAATTCCTTGATAAGGTTTTAGGTCATTTGTATGAAAGTGAGCACGAGGCTAGGAGGTTTTTTATAAAAACAAAGGAGGCACAGAAGAGGTTTCTTGCAAGTCTTGCGGCGGCTCAAGGTTGGGACACATGATAGTGTTTTATTGTTCTATGCACACAACAATCCATTTTGCTACTTCACATATTTTGTTACTATTCCCACACAACTCATATATTTTGTACATTGCAAACTTTAGATGTTGCAATTCATAACTTATATTTTGATAATTGCAAACTTTACATGTTGTAATTCATAACTAACATTTTGTTAATTGCAAACTTTAGATGTTGCGATTCATTACTTATATTTCATTGTATTCGTCGTAGGTTATATTCGTCGTACTATTTGTTGGTGTTGGATACTTATTACTGATGGATGACATATTTGGTAATCAAGCATGGTATGGCCTCTTTTCGTTCCTTTTTTTTTGGATGGGCAATGATGATAATAATAAACTGAGAATGCAGCCTATATTTATTGTGTATTGTTTAGGTGAGGCAATTTTGTGTGGAATGCAACCCTTATTGATATCTCAATTCTTGGGTGAGGCATTAATCCCTTAAAATTGCAGCCTACTTTTCACCATAAATTGATAGGCGAGGTAATCTTTTATGATAAATCTATTTTATCCTAAGCCCTAATGAGTTTTCTTTATTGGGGCTGTTTTTGGGGCTGTTTTTGGGGCTGTTTTTGTTAGAGCTGTTTTTGCTGGGGCTGTTTTTGGGGCTGTTTTTGCTGGGGTTGTTTTTGGGGCTGTTTTTGTTGGGGCTGTTTTTGGGTTTAAGTTAATATGTTGTTTTTCAGTTTTATTTCTGGTTCGAGCTTGTTTAGCTCTCTATTCTTGGGTATTTTGTGGTCATTTGGGATTGTTGTCGAGATATGAATGCTATTTTTTCTGTATATGCTGATTCGAGCTTGTTTAGCTCTCTATTGTTGGGTATTTGGTGAGTAATTGAGCTTGTTGTCGAGCTGTGAAGGCTGTTTTTTCAGTTTCTATGCTGATTCGAGCTTGTTTAGGTCTATTTTGTTGGGAATTTGGTGAGTATTTGGGCTTGTTGTTGAGCTACGAAGGCTGTTTTTTTGGTGGTTTGCTGATTCGAGCTTGTTTAGCTCTTTATTGTTGGGAATTTGGTGAGTATTTTGGCTTGTTGTCAAGCTATGGAGACTGTTTTTAGTTTCTATGCTGATTCTTGTTGTTTAGCTCTCTATTCTTGGGTATTTTATGGTCATTTAGGCTTGTTGTCGAGTTTTGGAGGCAGCTTTTTCAGTTGCTATGCTGATTCGAGCTTGTTTAGCTCTCTATTCTCGGGTATTTTGTGCTCATTTGGGCTTGTTGTCGAGCTATGAAGGCTATTTTTTGGTTGTTATGCTGATTCGAGCTTGTTTAGCTCTTTAATGTTGGGAATTTGGTGAGTACTTGGGCTTGTAGTCGAGCTCCTAAAGCTGTTTTTTTAGTTAATATGCAGATTCGAGCTAGTTTAGCTCTCTATTTGTTGGTGTTGGATACTTGTGCTTAGTAGCAGCTAATGGTTAAAAATTGCTCGGTTTGATATTACTAATGGATGACATATTTTGGTAATCAAGCATGGTATAGCCTCTTTTCTTTCCTTTTTTTTGGATGGGCAATGATGATAATAATAAACTGAGAATGCAGCCTATATTTATTGTGTATTGGGATGGGCAATGATGATAATAATAAACTGAGAATGCAGCCTATATTTATTGTGTATTGTTTAGGCGAGGCAATTTTGTGTGGAATGCAACCCTTATTGATATCTCAATTCTTGGGTGAGGCAATCCCTCAAAATAGCAGCCTACTTTTCACCATAAATTGATAGGCGAGGTAATCTTTTATGATAAATCTATTTTATCCTGAGCCCTAATGAGTTTTCTTTGTTGTCTTCCACTTTCTTTGTTGTTGAGCACTTTCATGAGTTAATGGATTTGTGGTTGATATTTTCTTCACTCAATTTCTCTATTGGGGCTGTTTTTGGGTTGCAGATTCTGTTACGAGCTTGTTTAGCTCTCTCTTTTTGGGTTTTCGGTGGCTTATTGTGCTCATTGTTGAGCTGTTTTTCAGTTATTATGTTGTTGAGCTGTTGTTGGGTATTTTATGGTCATTTGGGCTTGTTGTCAAGCTTTGTAGGCTGTTTTTTCAGTTGCTATGCTGATGCGAGCTTGTTTAGCTCTCTATTCTCGGGTATTTTGTGCTCATTTGGGCTTGTTGTCGAGCTATGAAGGCTATTTTTTGGTTGTTATGCTGATTCGAGCTTGTTTAGCTCTTTAATGTTGGGAATTTGGTGAGTACTTGGGCTTGTAGTCGAGCTCCTAAAGCTGTTTTTTTAGTTAATATGCAGATTCGAGCTAGTTTAGCTCTCTATTTGTTGGTGTTGGATACTTGTGCTTAGTAGCAGCTAATGGTTAAAAATTGCTCGGTTTGATATTACTAATGGATGACATATTTTGGTAATCAAGCATGGTATAGCCTCTTTTCTTTCCTTTTTTTTGGATGGGCAATGATGATAATAATAAACTGAGAATGCAGCCTATATTTATTGTGTATTGTTTAGGCGAGGCAATTTTGTGTGGAATGCAACCCTTATTGATATCTCAATTCTTGGGAGATGCATTAATCCCTCAAAATAGCAGCCTACTTTTCACCATAAATTGATAGGCGAGGTAATCTTTTATGATAATTCTATTTTATCTTGAGCCCTAATGAGTTTTCTTTGTTGGGGCTGTTTTTGGGTTGTAGATTCTGTTTTTGGGGCTGTTTTTGTTGGGGTTGTTTTTGGGTTTAAGTTAATATGTTGTTTTTCAGTTTCATTTCTGGTTTGGGCTTGTTTAGCTCTCTATTCTTGGGTATTTTGTGGTCATTTGGGATTGTTGTCGATATATGAAGACTGTTTTTTTCTGTATATGCTGATTCGAGCTTGTTTAGCTCTCTATTGTTGGGTATTTGGTGAGTATTTGAGCTTGTTGTCGAGCTGTGAAGGCTGTTTTTTCAGTTTCTATGCTAATTCGAGCTTGTTTAGCTCTATTTTGTTGGGAATTTGGTGAGTATTTGGGCTTGTTGTTGAGCTACGAAGGCTGTTTTTTTGGTGGTTTGCTGATTCGAGCTTGTTTAGCTCTTTATTGTTGGGAATTTGGTGAGTATTTTGGTTTGTTGTCAAGCTATGGAGGTTGTTTTCAGTTTCTATGCTGATTCTTGTTGTTTAGCTCTCTATTCTTGGGTATTTTATGGTCATTTGGGCTTGTTGTCGAGTTTTGGAGGCTGCTTTTTCAGTTGCTATGCTTATTCGAGCTTGTTTAGCTCTCTATTCTCGGGTATTTTGTGCTCA